TGTCAAGTAGTTAGGAAACCCTAACCAGGAGTTAGATCAGAGCCTTTAATCCCAATGCCAGCTCTACAAAAAAATGATTATCAGGGTCTTCGTAGATAGTGTACCTAAACTACTTAAAATCAGGAATGGGAATCAACATTTTATTATGGATATTTGAACAGGATTTCCTGAAGCATTGCCTTTGGTAAAAATTACTGCAAAAAATCATGGTGGAACTGTTATATCAGTTGTCTCCAAGATATAGACCATCCAAAGAAAATGTGAATCTTGATCTAATTGCATGTCATAAATCTTTAAAGAAATAGTGAATAATTGTGAAAAAAATCTATTTAAATTGTCTGCTTGTCATCCACAATCCTGATATGCAATAGAAAGATGGCATCAAGCTATTATTAGAACTTATTGTCAGGAATGGTCTAATGATTGAGATAAATGAATATCTTGTTACTGTTTTGTGGGATGATCTAGGACCAGAGGGAATAATCTCAGAATAAGAGGTCATCTAATTGAGACAGAAATGAGGAAGAATTTCTTTTGAGGGTAATGAACCTGTGGAATTCTTTACCACAAAAGGCAATAGAAGCTGTGTTTTCAAGTATGTTCAATGGTGAGATTTTTTTGTGGGATGCGGGCGTCACTGGTTGACCAGCATTTATTGCCTTTCCCTAGTTGCCTTTGAGGTGGTGGTGGTGGTGGTGAGCTGCCTTCTTGAACTGCTGCAGTCCACCTGCAATGCCATTAGGGAGGGACTTCCAGGATTTTAAACCCAGCAACAGTGAAAATTTTTGATCAGTGAGAGAATCAAGTTTATGGGGAAAAGTTAAGAAAATGGTGATAAGGATTTTCAGATTAGCTATGATCTCATTAGATGGTAGAGAAGAATCAATAAGCCCAATGGCTTATTTCTGCTCCTATGAATTATGATCTGTGTGATTTAGATCATGCCATTCTCAATAATTTGTTTTTAACAACATAAGTTAATTACAAAAATCAGCAGTCTTGTCAATATTTCTCACTGACTAACCACTTAACTAACTGAACAATAAAAACACATAATCAATGAAGCCCGTGTTCTGGAATCTGACTTGTCCAGTATTGGCATCAGATAGGGTCATAATTGAAGTTAAAGGAAAATTTGTGTTTTATCTTTCAAGAATTCATTTTTAAACATAAGACAATCATTCATTATTGGAGCAGAACATCTTCCACAGCTAATACTTTACAGTGATCTTAGAGATGTGAATATTTCCTCTATCCATGTACATCTTGGTTATGTCAATTGTGTGACAACATTGGCTCTCTGTACAGTTTTTTTTGAGAATATCTGCAATCTGTTCTTTTGCATACTCTAAGGCTTTTATGTCTTGTGACTACTGATAACTAGCCTCTCAGGTCAGTGGTGTCTTCGAGATACAGTAGTTAACTTCAATTCTTTAATTTTGATCAATGTAAGCATTGCCATGGGATGCTATCACTCAAAACTCTATAACTTTGGCCTTTAATTATTGATTGAAAATATAACTCTCCTATGTATCCATACCTTGTTGATTAAACTCCTTTGAAATGCAGAGCTGCATTTATGCCACCAAACAATTTCTTGAAACTGAGAATTAGAATAGTCTAATTTTAACTTTAGCATGTATTTACCTCCAGATATTTTTATTAGCTGCTTGCGCCCTTTGGACTCAGTTTGATGAAAGCATGGACCAAGTTTCTATACTTTAGAAGAACTATTTATTATAAATAAGTAGATTCTATCCACAGATAAACAATTATGAGCTCATCAACATATAACGCTGCAAGTTAAAACTTTAATTCCTTTATAAAATCTCCACTTACACACAATGACAGATATCAACAAGCACAAAAAAAACATACATGGGTATTATGGGTGGAGGAAAAGCCTAGGAAAGCAGTTCAATGGTCCTCGAAACAGAGTTTGCTGAGACAATCCTTTTGCTGGTCAGGACTTGCTGCTCTTTGATCTTCGTGTTCCAGGCTTTTGCACTTGCTTGTAGGAGGCACAGGGTGACTTATTCATCCTTATAAATCCTCTGACTTATTGGTTAAAAGCCACCATATACATCAACTGATGAAAAGAAATAAACTGGCTTTCTTCAGGCTCAAGATGCTTTTTTTTCTGCAACAAAATGGGCAGCTCCCATTCCTTTTCAGAGGTCCAATGGCCTCTGACTAAACATTCGCACCCACAAACTGTTCAGCTGAGAGCCAACCACATAGTTGTTGGCAGGCACAAGACATTTGTCATTGACAACTGGTCACCATACCACAAACCAATCAGCAAATAGTTGCTGGCCAAATCTCCCTTTGTACACACCCCCTGACTCCAGCTTGTTTGTAGTAACCATCCTCACTGCTTCAACAAACAGCAGTGTAGACAACACATATAATTACTGCCAGGTAATTTGGTTTAATAAAGTGTAGAGGTGACCTTATAGAGGTTTATACAATAATGAGGGGTATATATGAAGTGAATGGCAGGCATCTTTTCCCTAGATTCAGGATTTTAAAACTAGGGAGCATATGTTTAAAGATGAGAGGAGAGAGATTTTAAAAAGACATGAGGGGCAATTCTTTTACACAGAGAATGGATCATGTGGAATGAACGTTGAGGAAATGGTGGATGCGGGTGCAGTTACAACATTTAAAAGACATTTAAGTAAGTACCTGAATAAGAAATGTTTGGAGAGATATCGGCCAAATACAGGCAGGTGGTACTAGTTTAGTTTGGAATTATGGTCGGCATGGACTGGTTGGACTGAAGGGTCTGTTTCTGTGCTGTATGACATTGTGGCACTTGGGCTGATGATTTCAGCATCCATCAACTTCTAAAACATACATAGAGAAACAGGATATAAAATCAGGTGAGTGATTTGTTATCAACATGTCAAATTTCACATAATCGTATGGATGTTGGAGGGAGCTGTCCTGATTTTCACATGTAACAGTCATCCCCACAGCTCAGTGCAACAAAGTTTCTGAGACCAATCTAATATCAGTGGACTCTTAAATATTCCTCTAGTGAAGTTGGAAATATTTATTGAATATAATGAAGGGCAAGTTAGACAGTTTTTGGAGCTGCAAGGGAGACAAGACTTATGGGGAGGGTGGGCAAATAAGTGGATATTTAGAGCATATCTTATTGAACAGTGGAGCAAGCTTGATGGGCCGAAAGGCCTATTTTTGCTCCTATTCCTTACAATCTTATAAATACTGGCACTTGGGGACAAAATTGCAAAATTTCTTGTACCAGCTGCTTCCACTAAAGAACTGACTTTGCTGCACATATAGCTTTTCTTCCTTGACCTACTGTTGATTAAAGCGGCTGCAGTGTCCAAAAGCACTTTATTCTCGATTTCCTGTTGCTTAACCATCCAAGGAGAAAAGTCTAAAAATGGGCACAAGCCCAGCAGAAAGCCAAACTTCCAGACAAATGTCGCAAAGCACAAAATTTCTGTGTTCTGTAGCCTTCGATTCTGTTCCCCCATTTTCTTATTTTGACAGAGTTGGCTATCAGGATTATGGAAAGTGGAGAGTTGACCCAAAATCAGATTAGCAGGATGTTTCTGAATGGGGGAGTAGGCTCAAAGGGCTGAATGGTCTCCTCCTGTTTCTAAATCTTATATTACCTGTATTAGAAATGAGGTGCACGGAGTAAAATTTAAATAACTAGAAGTGCACAGGTAGAAAGTGATTGCAATCAAAACTCAAAATTAGAAGTCTGCCTGTGAATCTTATATCTCCCTGATCAGACTGCTGATTAAGATAAATGAGGGTTTCAAAAAAGTCTATGTTTAACAATTAAAGATGAAGATTATTATGTGCATGTCATTGAAAAGGCAAATTAACAGCAACAAATCAAGAATTATAGAAGCATAGCTTTGTCTGAATGGATTGTTCCACACAATTATTCCAATATGTGTTTGACAACATCTGGGGCCAATTTTTTTTTAAGAGTACTGGATTTTGTTCCAATGCCAGTTGTAAATTATTTATTCCTGAATCTTTTGTTTTCAACAGGAGGAAGTTGCTCTCAAATTTTTTATTGGATTTATTAGCAAATATTTTGTATTTATGACCTTAAGTTTTGAATTCCCACACAGTGGAAATATTTTCTCCAACATCTATTTTACCAAACTCTCTCATAATTTTAAAGATTTCTATTAGGTTACCTAGCAGCCCTGTTTTTAAAATGTATAAAGATTACATTTTATGTAATTAAAAAGTAACTGTTCTAAATGAATGTAGTCCGATTACTTAGGAAAAAAAATTTGAAAGTTTGGATCATTTTAACCACATAAAAAGATGTGATCATGTAGAATGACAGAATTTTAAAAATCTCAAACCCAAACTATCTTCCAGAGGCGGATTGTTCATTTAAAAATTGTAAGTCTTATACTTGACTCATCTACCATGTTTAACCTTGACTGGCCTGGTCTCCAGCATCAGGAGACCAGGCAACTAAAGGAAGGGAGATATTGCTTTGAGGAAGAATTAAGAGCTGATGAAGAAATAATGAGATTGTGTACATTGTTTCCTGCCAGCTAATGGCACCTACCCCTGATCCAATGACTCTTATCACCCCAGCCCATGATCAGAAGTCCTGAATTCAGATAGTGGATCTTTTTCTCCAAGTAAACCCCTGCAGCCCCTCCAGGAATCAGAAATCAGAAATCACTCCTCGTGCCTCAAAATCTAGATCCCATTCCCCCAAACACAAATGTTTTTCACTGTCTTCTGATGTCCATGTTTTTGAAGCACTTTTGAATTTTCTGAGATGCAAGATGGGAGAAAGAGGCGTAGTGATAACTTTGCTGGATTGGTAAACTGGAGGCCCCGGCTAAGGCTCTGGGGACATGGGGTTGTATCCCACCACAACAGCTCGAAGTTAGTAAAACCTAGGAATGAAAGCTATCTCAGTAATGGTATCATGAATGTATCGATTACCATAAAAAAATCTTCTTCACTATTGCCCTTAGGGAAGGAAATCTTACCTATGTGTCACTCCAGATCAACAGCTACATGGGTGAGTCTTAAATGCCCTCTGCAATGGTGAAGCAAGCCACTCAGTTCAAGGGCAATTAGAGGTGGGAAACAAATGCTGGCCAAATCAGTGACACATCATCCATAAAAATGAAGATACCATCTGCTGCAAAAGCTCTTTGTGAGTACCTATTTTGACTAGAACAATTGTTTCTTTGAGATAGCAAAAACTAGAGATGCTGGAGTCAGAGACAACAATGTGGAGCTGGAGAAACACAGCACACCAGGCAGCATCAGAGGGGCAGGAAAATTGGTGTTTTGGGTCAGGACCCTTCTTCAGAAGAAGGGGAAAGGGAGCTGGGAAGTAAATAGAGTGAGGAGGGTTGGGGCTGGGATAGGTAAGTGGGATGGTGATAGGTGAGTGCAGGTAGGGAGTAGTGGGGATTAGGTTGTAGACATGCTTGCCGAGCAGTGGGTTTGGTTGCAAATATTTCGTCACCCTGCTAGGTAACATCATCAGTCCACCTCTGGTCAAGCATCGGTGTTCTGTCCCACTTGTTATTAATATGCTTCGTTTTGCTGGGTGATTGATATTATTTCCAGTCTTGTTTCTCAGTGGCTTGTACACAGGGTCTAATTCAATGTATTTGTTGATAGAGTTCTGGTTGGAATACCAGGCCTCCAGGAATACCTGGTGTGTCTCTGCTTGGCTTGTGCAATTAGTGATGTGTTGTCCCATTCAACTTCGTGTCCGTTGTTGTCCATGTATACTGAGACAAGTGAGAAATTGGTCATGTCTCTTGGTGGTTAGTTGGTGTTCATGTATCTGTATAGTCAATTTTCTTCCAGTTTGGCCTATGTAGTGTTTCTCACAGTCCTTGCATGGTATTTTTGTACATTACCCCAGTTTTTCCTGTTTTGGGTATGGGATCCTTTACGTTCGTCAGTAGCTATCGTAGGGTGGTAGTTGGTTTGGGTTACTGTGATATCTAGGGGTCTGAGTAGTCTTGTGGTCATCTCTGATATGTCCTTGATGTATGGAAGGATGATAAGTGATTCTGGTTGTGTTGTGTCCTGTCTTGGAGGTAACGGCAGATTGTGCTTTTCAGGTATCCATTTCTTTTGAAATGGTGGGGATTGGTCAGTAGGATGGGTGGGGTGGATAGGTGGGAAGGAAGATGGACAGGTTGTGTCAGGTCATGGAGGTGGGGATAAGAGGGAGGGTTGGACAAGGGATGAGTCCAGGGGTGGGGAGATTTTAAAACTGGTGAATTCCACGTTTAGTACATTGGGCTGTAGGCTCCCGAGGCGGAATATGAGGTGTTGCTCCTCCAGTTTACAGGTGGTGTCACTGTGACACTGGATGAGGCCCAGGATGGACATGTCACCCAGGGAGTGGGAAGGGGAGTTAAAATGGTTGGCGACAGGAAGGTGTTGTAATTTTTCACGTACAGAGGGCAGATGCTCTACAAAATGGTCTCCGAGTCTACGCTTGGTCTCACCGACGTAGAGGAGGTCACATCAGGAGCAGCGGATACAGTAGACCAAGTTGGTGGATATACAGGTGAACCTCTGTCTAATATCTGTTTGTAATTTGACTCAGTGCATGTTACATGAATAGTTTTCAGTTGCTATTTGATGAAGTTGGTTTTAATGGTGACTTAATGAAAGTATTAAAGGTACGATTCAATCCTGAATGAAGGAACAAGCAAACCCCTTGAGTCATTCAGTGAAGTACAGAGAAGTTAATCTTACTGAATGTAAATCATCACAGATTGCTGTGTTCATAGTATTGTTGGAAAACTGTCCTTGACATGAGAAAATCAAAAGGAAACGCAAAGAATAATTATTAGAGCAAGTAACAATTCTATTAAAGGCAATCTATTTAAAATATGTTTCAGTCATACCAAATGTTCTTTGGACAAACTTAAGATGGTAATAAATTCATTTTGGTCTAATCCTATGAAAAATTGTCTTAATTTTTACAGTAGACATTTAGGAGCGTCCATAAGAAAATTTGTAATTTTAAATTTAAATTTAGATAGCAAGGAAAAAAGACAAATCTTCAAAATCATTTCACTGATTGCTGACATTCAAACTACAAATTTGTCCTGACATGCCAATAGAAAGTTTGAAGACTTTGTTATGCAGCAATGCATAACCCAACAAACCTATTGTTTCAACTGATAGTTAATTTTAAAATTGTTACTTTTATATTTGAACTTCTAAATTTGACTAAGAGAATTCTGGCCAATTTCACCTTCTGCAAGACAGTTCCAAAGTCAGCAGTGGCAATGTACACTATATAGCTTTACTGCTAGTATTCCAGTTCACCTTTTTTGGATTGATACAGAAACTTGAAATACAGTTGCAATAAATCTTACATGAAGACCCGATTTAAACATAAGCAATGCTGGTCATGGTATTCTACACTGCTGGCAATTGGAGTCCCTCCAGTTGGATTTAGAACATTGGAATATAACTGAAGTTAAATCTTGTATTTCATAAATATGGATGTTAGCAACTCAATGCTGATTCAGATGTAATTTTGTTTTGCAGCACCTCAGGAACGATGTAGGTGGACTTTGGTATGGAACCCATTGATCATCAAGTTCAGTGATTTAAGTCCAGGCAGTTCCTGGGTTGTGAACGGGTTTCCTTCTGGGTTCCATTGGATTTGCTCACAAGTCAGAGCACAATTAAGTACAATGGAAAGCAGCCATTTGTATGTACAGAAATATTCGTGTGTTGGGTCTTTAAACCATGTCTAGGAACGTGTTCGTAAACATGGCACTTGTAATTCAGATGGTCATAAATTGGGGACACCTGTAGCCACGTCATTGAAATCTTGAGAGTTCAGAAACTAGAACTGATTTTCTGTAGCCTAATGAGCTTTAAAGTGCCAATTACATGTGGGAAGAAGGGGACAAAATGCAAAATGGTTTATGGAGACAGATGAAAACTCTTATCATTGGTGGCATAGCAGTAGATGTGATTCATACAAGACAATTATTTTAAAAAAGGGCTGGAATAGCTCATAAAAAGGTTGAGGAAATCTAAGTCACAAGGTCAACAGAATTACCCTCTGGTTTTTCCACTCAAACATCCTTGGGCCTCAACTGATCAAAAGCTGATGGGACCAGTCATGTAATAGTTATGCCTGCTATATTAGCTAAGAGGCTTGGTATTCTAAAGAAAGTAACTCACCTCCTGGTTCTGGAAAGCAACCTACAAGACGTGCCAGGAACATGACCGAATATTCTCCGCTTACCTATATGAAGGCAGCTGCAACAACACTCAGTGGGCAGTAGACAAAGCAATGTTTGATTCACATTATATCCAGCAGCTTAAATATCTCTTTCCTTCACAACGACCACCATATCATGGTTGCAGTATTTACTGCCAAGTACTTCCCCACTACTTTTGAAACCTGTCCCACCATTAGATAGACAAGATCCACATGGACGTCATCTCCAAATTCTCCTTGAAATAGCACATTACTGTGATATGGACATATGGCTCCATCCTTCACTATTGTTGGGTCAAAATTGTGCATTCCATATCCAACAATAAGAACAACACCTTCACCATCTGGACATCATTAGTTCAAAAAGGTCTACCACGACCTCAAGTGCAACTATTGATGGGTAATATATGTTGGCCTTCCTAGTGATGTCCATATTGCAATAAGGAAGTAAAAGCCCAGCAAGTCCAAAACTTGTTTTTTTGATTTATAAATGGGGAGTTGATCATCTAGTGGTATTATTGTTAGACTATTCATCCAGACATTCAGGTAATGTTCTGGGGATCCAGGTTTAAAATCCACTATGGCAGATGGTGGAATTTAAGTTAAAAATATCTGCAATGAAATGTCTAATGATGACCATGAAACCATTGTCAATCATCAGGAAAAGCCTATTTGGTTCACTAATATCCTTCATGGAAGGAACCTGCCATCCTCACTGACATGAATCGAGACCCAGCAATACGATTGACTCTTGACTGCCTTGAATTGGCCTACCAAGCCACTCTGTTGCATCAAAGTTGTATCAAAGTCTCAACAAAGAAGTGAAACTGAACAGACCTTCTGGCATTGATCTGAGCACCACAAATGATAACAGCAAAAACATCTCTATAGACCCCGCAAAGTCTGCCTCACTAATGTCAGGGTCTAATGCCAAAATTGGGATAGCTGTCTCACAGACTAGTCAAGCAACAGCCTGATACTGTCATACTCAAAGAATCATACTGTTACAAACAACATCCCAGATACCACCATCAGTATCTCTGGATAAGTCCTATCCCACCAGCAGGATCGGCCCAGCAGAAGGGGCAGTGCAGTGGTATACAATCAGGAGGTGGTTGACCTGGAATTCCTTAACATTGACCCCAAACAACATGGAAGTCTCATAGCATGAAGTCAAACATCGGCAAGGAAATCTCCTGATGATCACCATGCACTGTCCTCCCTCAACTGATGAATCAGTGGTTCTCCATGTTGAGCAACACTTGGAGCAAACAGTGTGGCAAGGGCACTGAATATACTCTTGGTGATGAATTTCAGTATCCACCACCAAGAGTGGCTTGGCTGCAGCACTACCGAGCGAGGTGGTTGGAACGTAAAAGACATAGTTGCTAGATAGAGTCTGATTCAAATGGTGAATGGAATCACCAGGAACGAAAAACATTCTTGACATTATCCTCACGAATCTTTCTGCTGCAGGTGTGTCTGTCCATGACAAAATATTGATAAAAGTGACCACGTCATAGTCTGTGTGGAGACGAAGTCCCACCTTTGCACAGTCAAAATCTTTCATCATGTTGTATGGTACTATCACTATGGTCACCATGCCAAATGGAACAAACTTTGAACAGATCTAACAACTCACAACTGGGCACCCGTGAGGCTGTGTGGGCCATCAGCAGCAGCAAAGTCATATTCCGGTACAACCTGCAACCTTATTGCGTAGCATATCTCCCACTCCATCATTGCCATCAATCCAGGGGATCAATCCTGGTTCAATGAAGAGCGCAGGAAGGCATGCCAGGAGCAGCACCAGGCATACCTAAAAATGAGGAGTCAGCCTGGTGAAGCTACTAGACAGGACTACCTACATGCCAAAGAGTATAAAGAACAAATAATCGAGCTTAAGCAGCCACAACCAATGGATCAGATCTAAG